TAGTGCCATCTCTTTCAGCTGAACTATGTTCTGGCCTGCCTCCTCTTTGATGGAGTCTCGCTATCTCACTCTTCGGCAACCTGGTTTTGTCTTGCTGCTGAGCATTCCAAGGGTTATATCTTTTTTTTAATGAGCTTGATCGCATGATGTGGTCAAAATAAATGAGTGTCAGCTTTGTTATCTTGCTGACCAAGGATGCATCTGATTTAATATGCTCTAGCACCTGCTTGTTCATTGCCCCTGCTTTCCATGGAATGTGCAGGAGCCTTCACCAAAACCACAGCTTGAATGAGTCAATTTTCCTCTTGCCTAACTTTTTCATTGTCCAGCTTTCACAGCTGTAGGTTGCTACAGGAAAACACTCATACCAGTCTGCACTTGGTTGCCAAGTTGATGTTCTTCTTTTTCCACAGTCGATTCATGGTTGCCATTGCCATATGACCTAGTGAAATCCATTACCTTATTTCTGGACTGCATTCACCACTGCAAGTAATCAGTGATACCAGGAAAGTGAATTCTTCTACACATTCAATTTCCACATTATCAACTGCTATTTTGACAGCTTCATTCTGTGCAGTCAAGATCTTCATCTTTTTGATGTTTAGAAGGAGGCCAAACTTCTCACTCTGATTCTTTGATTCAATTGCTTTAGATCTTCCTGGGTTTCTGAGAGGAGGGTTGTGTCATCAGCATATTTAAGGTTGTTGATAGGTTCGTCTCCAATCTTTATCCCAACTGTTGATTCTTCAAGATCCATCTTCCTCATGATTACTTCAGCATGCAAGTTGAACAGAAAAGAGGGGAGAGACATCCTTGTTGGATTCCTTTCTCAACCTTGAACCAATCAGTGTCTCCTTATGGTGTTCTTACAGCTGTTTGCTGGTTTGTATATAGTGACTGCGGCAACCTGCCCAGATGTGTTACATCAGCTAAACCTAACTCCAGCTTCCAGAATATTTTCTATGAACTCTTAAAAGCTTAACCAGGTTAATTCAGCCTGACCCCTCTCTATTATACATTTTTTTCAACTGACCCAGTGGCAAACCACCTGCTCTGCATGCAGAAAGTCCCGGGTTTGATCCCGGGCATCTCCAGGCTGAGCAAGAGTCCTGGAGAGCCATGGTTGCCACTCAACATCAACAATGCTGGGCGAGACAAACACATGGCCTGACTCTCTATAAGATGACTTCTTACATTCCTAAATATTTGAAAATCCCCCCATAAATGTCAATGCCAATACAAACCAGACATGACAGGGAATCTGTGTACGTTTTATACACATGTCTGTACTGTTTGCAGAAAGAGAGCTTACGGTCTACTGTTTAAACAAAAAGCTGTGTGCAAAACGATCCTTTGCCATACCTCACTGGTCTCCATTTCTTTAGGCAACTTCCCCTTATCTGGATTACATCTGGTATCAGAAAGTATCTAGGAGAAGCTGCTTAAAACAGCAGAACAGAGATAGTAGTTTTAACTTTTCTCCCTGCATAACCCATAATGTTTAGATAAGTCTACACTAACTTTCTGTGTGAACATGGTAAGCAAGTTCCCAATAATCCAGTTGCATCCAGATTGACCCTTTCTGACAAACTGTAGTTATCTCCAGTGGGTACTTTGCCTTAGTAAAAAAAATAGCTAGACTGAACTAATCATGGTCAATGTTAGTTACCTAGAACATTTGAAAAACTGACCTATGTGATTTTAAAATGTTTAAATTAAATATGTATACTAATTCCATTAGATATTTAAACATAAACAAATTAAAGGAATATTAATATTACACTGCCAATGTTTTTATTCACATTATGAAGCTATGAATGAAACTGCATGTAAACATCAAAAATAACAACCTAGTCTTTTTACATGCATCTGATTTTGTTTAATAGTCAGTCTTCAGGCTAGTGGCTTAAATATGAACCTTATTTATTTTTGTTAAAATAATTTTTAGGCCGCCTTTAAGGGTGTTCTCCCCTTATTAAATGTAAGCCTAAACTATATGAATGCTTTATCAGATACTGATTTTGTTTTGTTTTGTTAAGTACTTGGCTTCATTAATTTTCACTGAATCAAAGCACACCATAGCTCTTTTCATAACAGAGAACTGTAATAACTTGTAATGAATAATTTAATATGCTTGCTGAGCCCAAAAAAAAAAAAAAAGGAAAGGAAAGGAAAGGAAAGGAAAGGAAAGGAAAGGAAAAAAGTATATAGTAGTCCCAAAGGTCCTCAAATATTTATGGCTTGTAACACATGCACATTTTATAAATAAAATGAATTCAGAAAAATTTAAATAAAATAAAATTGTTTTGTTTTTTTAAAGGTATGTCCTCTAGCTAGAGATTCTCCAACAAAAGTTTAGAAAATTAATACGGGTATATTTGTTTTCTTATTACAGTAATACTGCCTTTTGGGAGTCATTTTTCATCATTTTGTTAATTTAAAAATACAGCATAAGAAAACTGAATGAGTAGGCATGATTATCAATCGAGAATAAAGATATGTTTCATAATTAAGAAACAGACAAGTTAATGATGATTGTTCTCAGAAAATGGGAGCTATTTTTGTTGTTGCTGTTGTTAAATGCACAACTCGGAGGCACTGAAAAGACATGAAAGATGTGACATGCTGGTAAATGCACCATTTTCCTGATTGGTAAACCTGTACGCTAAAACCAACCTGTAAGGCTTTCAAGATCTTGAACAGAAAGCACTTTCTGTGGTGAAATGGTGAAGAGACTGGTGACAAGTATTTGACAGCCCACTAAGCCATTTCCCACAGAGATTCTGTTCAACACTCTCCTCAGTGCTCAGTGATCCAGCACAGAGCTTCACACTCATTCCAAAAACTCAGGCAGCCAAGGTATTAAGCTGAACTGAACAAAAGGGAAGTGGGTAGAAAGCCAAAATCACCAGTTTCTGCATATACTGAAGGAATAAGAGGGAATTGGAGAGAATATCTGCTGAAATTCATGTAGAACGAAGCATGATCAGCAGCAGCTTGGGCAAACAGGAAACAAGGATTTTATTTCTTTTTTTAAAGCCCAGTTAATCAGGAATGGAGGCAGGAGGAGGGAACAAGATTGGAAAAACACAAATCAGTGCCTAGTAATTGTTTACTACTTCTACAGAAGCAATAATAATGCTTTGCTGAAAACTGTACTATGAAATGGATCTTTGAAATCAAAGCACTTTTAGGTACAAGCAATCTGACAAGATTTGAAAGAGGCATGAGATAAAGAAAATCTTTTAAGGACATGCTCTCTTTTCAGAGAAATTTGTGCATTTGTACACAGAGGAACTTAGACATGAAAGATATCCAGCTCTTATGGGCACTTTTATCAGGGTAAACTATTGCTAAGAAACCTTAACAGCATCTCATCATTTTCTTGTAAACTCCCCAAAAAACAGAAGCTCTAACATGGATGTAATACGTACAATCTCCCATACCCTCTTCAGTTTTAAATAGGGCATCATGCCTCCCCCAGAAAACATCAGTCTGCTTTTAACCCCATAGTATCATCCAATGTCTAAAAAGCAGCTTTAATGCAGTGGAAAAAGTTGGCAGGAAAAAAACAGAACAAGTGCTACTGCACGTAGCAACACTTGCTCACACACCAGGAGTTAGCTAGATGTCAGTCATGACCATTTATGAAGTTTTTAACTGACCTGTATCTATCTGGTATTTCTTAATTCTTATAATCTTCATTTAGAGAAATATTTAAAAAATATGCTAAGCATATGGGAAAAAAGTAAATCAAACATTTTCAAAAGTCTAAAGAGGAAAGCCAACACAAAGAAATGTAGAATTAAGTATGAAACCAGATCAGACTTCAAATGTATGTGGCATATTTATTCAGGGAATGCACACATATCTTAACTTCACCGAAGAATGTAGGAAGCTTTTTTTAGTGAGTCAAACTATTGGTCCATTTCATCTAGAACTGTTGACATGGGTGGAAGTAGCTCTCTATGTTTCTGGTAACGGTTTTTGTTGCATTACCTAGAAATGTTGGGGATTGAAAATTGGAATGTATGCATGCAAAGCAGACATTCTTCCATTGAGTATGGTGAATCTATTGCTGAGTTAAAGGGAATTTTTCTAACTTTCATGTAACTGTGATTTGTGATGAAAAATTGATAAAATCTGATGTGCTGAAAACCACAGCTATACTGATGAATATATAGTTAGAAGTGACAATAGTTTAGAGAGAGTGCAAAGCAGTTTGAAAGAGGTATAATTCCCATTTTTTTATCTGATTCTTACCTCTGGTCCAGAAGGCTCTGTAAAAATGTCCAGGTATGTACAACATGATGTGGCTCACAATTCTGCAACCTCTGCTTCAGTGTTGTCATGTTATCCAAACCAGTCATTTGTTATGTGATGGTTTAAAATAACCCTTTGCTTGTTGCAGGGTCAACCCTTGTAGAATCCCTGATGCAGTTAGGATGACATGACAAGTCCCTGATTGGGAGTGGCAGACTAAAAATGAAGGCTGGCATGCACCACTGCCACAATAGGCTGTATGAACTCAATGTCTTTGTCTCATGTATATACTGCACAACAGCTGAGGGTCCCCTGGATTTTAACACCTGCAAAATTACAGAATAAGGGCTTTCCTGGGTCCCTTTTCTCTCTCTGGCACCAGAAGGCTGCTACAGGATGGGAGAAAGCAGAGGTCCTCCTCCACATGAACTCACATAGGACACCACTGGATGCAAGCCAGTTCAAGAACCTGCAAAACTGATTCACCAGAGGCAAAAGTGGAATGACTGCACAGCCTATGACCAATATGGTTATTTTTTATCCTCCTTGGAAAGGCTCCAAATGGCCAGAGATAGCCAGAAACAAACAGGGTAGAGATTTTATGAGCACACACAACGTTTTTCAGAGCCCTGCCTAATTTACATATGGCATATTTTATTGACTCTCACTTTGGTCACAATTACAAGTCAAACATAATGACCAGCTTTACAGTTGCTTTTATTCCAGCCCACCCATACCTGAAAGCCTTGGATCCTTGCCAGATATTCCAGTTGTTTTGAAGACTGCACTGTTGAACAAGGAGGCGTGAATGACATTCCTTTCAGACCTATGGCTTCAGCAGCTGGGGATGTTCCATTCATGAGCAGTTCCCTGGCAATTGTGGCCATACCACTAGTGGTAGGAGACACACTGAAGAAACAACTAGAAGTCTGACTCATGTCTTTGGATGACATATCGTTTACAGAGATAGCAGGTGATGCTTTATTGCGACTGGCTTCCATTTCTTGATAAACATCAGCAGAGAGATGCAGAATTCCTTTTGGTGCTGAAAACAAGAGCAAAATGCATTTTTATCACACCTACAATTGTTTAAGTGTTACCAAATAGAACATTGTCTCTATCTAGACAGAGTTAGTCTCTGACAGTTCTCTATGGTCTGGTAACCTCCTCACTGGACTGCTGCAATGTGCTGTATGTGGGACCACCACTAACATGATTACATGACATCCACTGCACAGGCTTCCAGTCTGTTTCTGGGCCGTATTCAAAGTGCTAATGTTAAGCAAAATGGCCTGGACCAGAGTATCAACAGGAAAATGACCAGCCCTCTAGGTCACCTTCAGAGGCTCTCCTCTGGGTGCCTCCACCAAATGAAGTTAGGTGGATGGCTACAAAAGAGTGGTCCTTCTCTGTTGTTGCACCCTAGTTATGAAAAACGCCCCCCCCCGCAAAAAAACAAGGCTTGCCAGGTGCCTACACTGTTATCTCTTAAGAGCCATGTGAGGATATTTCTGTTCCCCGGGCATTTAAAATTTCATTTCTTTGCTTGTTTTGGGCAAAGGATTCCAAGTGCTGACCCCAGCCCTGGGGCACAACATATTAAATAAATTAGTTTAATTAAATACATGCTAATTATATGAATGCCTGGAACATACTCTTGCTCCCCCATCCCCTATGACAATCAGGAAACCAACCAACTCTGCTTTGTAGCAGCAATGCTGGATTACAGTGAGAAAGCACAGATATATGATTTCAGTTGGTATATTTACAGACAAAAAGATATGCCAACACAAGGAAGTTGCAAGTGCTCACATTTCCTTTGAATATGGCCTAATGCAAATCCACTTTCCATAAAAGTGCTTCAGATGCAACATCTTTTATAGCATAACTGAAAAAATACATCAGTTCAGAAATAATAGAATTAATATGGTGAAAGAAAATCCATTTAAAATGCCTGTACAATACTATAAACCTCCTGAAACCACATCAAAAAGTACAGATGTCTCATCCACTGATGTAATATCACTTCAAACAAACATTTCACATGCTCTTTCAGCCTTTTCAGTGTTTTTACATGATCCACCCAAATATCTAACTGCTGTCTGGAACAATAGCTGGGAATTCTTCCAGATTACTAATCTTTTTAAATGTTAAAACAACTAGTACGAAGCATAGGATGAATAAAAAGCTCTCTCACATAATATACCACATGTTTTTAAATTGTATCCACATTACAGTAATAACATCATTCAATTAGCAATAATGACAAGGACTTTCCACTTATGTAACACCTTTTGTTTGGAGGATTTGGAAGCTCTACACATATCAACAAATTATGTCACACAATACTCCTTTGAGGATTCTGCCATTCTTATCAACTACCAATGATTTTGAACAATATTCTCAGTATTTTAAGTAACATCATACAATAACATGCTCTATATTTCCACTGCTATAAGGAAGTTAAATGGGGGCAGAGGGTGCAAGGCACCAGATTGGTACTTCTGACTTCTCCTTTTATATCCAGCAAATGCACAACAGAAGAGCTTTTCAAGAACAAGGTTATGTGATTGACTTTCAATTATGTTACATCACTATCATTCCAATATTATATTTCAATCATTAATTAAAATTGTTTTTACACCTGCTGGTTATTTTTATTTGAACACATTAATTTATGTTTGTAAATAATGAAGTCATGTACATTTGTTCATTAATTCTAACATCAAAAAGGAGAATTTTGTCTGTGATCCAAAGTACTGCATGTAAAGGAAATTTCTTCTCAGAGTTGAGAAAAAAAGTTTTCCAAAAAGTGTAGGAAGTACTTATGATTGCACCAAGCTTTCCTTATCAATGAAAGAGAACGGGGATATTACAGACATCATAAAAATGAAGAAGACTATATAAGATGCTATCTAGATGACTACAGGATAATTCGGAGAAGCACTGAGCAAATCTGGAGTGCCCCTCCTCCCTACTTCTGGGGCTCATGCATTTATTTCTTTCATAGCTCTAAAATCAGAAGACCAACCTCGGATCCAGAATTGGCAGGAGTTCTGGAGCAAAGAACCACTCTGATATAAAGAATAATGCCTGATGATGCTTCTAGCTCCTCTCCTCATGAGCGCTGTTAATCTTTGCCTTTGCATTTCTTCTGCCCTACATTGTTTTTGGTGCTGTTATGTGCCATCAAGTTTCAACAGTCATCACAAGATGATGTTCCCCTCAGTTTTCACATGGTAATAATTACTTACCATGTGGTAAGACTGAAAGTTAAGATTGTTCTCAAAATTGTAAGAAATAACACACCACACACCAAAATTGCTATTCTTTCTTCTAGGTTCCTGGCAACTCATGTTTGATCCTCAGTTGAATTTAAAATGCAACTGCGGATTTGCCCAAACCATAGCTAGTCACAGTCAGATGCAATGTTAACCATAATATTCCAAAACCAGAAGACAGTTAAGAAATCATAGCATATCACAACAGGAAAGAAGGAAATATGCACTTCCTAGGCACAACTATCCTCATGGACACAACAAACCATGGCTTGGCAATACATCTGAATGCATTCCATATGTAGTATACTCCTTCAAGTTCTCCAAAAAGTAATGACAACTTCTGGGTAGAAATGTATGGCAGAATCTCTGATCACCATGGAATAATTCCAAGTTTTTCTCCATTCAACCAATAAGAATGTCCTTTTCCATCAGAAATTGTTTTTCACTAAAACCAATGGTGATATACATTTATATACTCCCAGGCACCATTTTTAGAGTATTAATGAGAAATACAACATAAAAATACATTGCTGTCAGTGTTGTTTATGGTCAGTTCTCATGAAATTCCCAGCAATGTATACTCTTGAGAATGAGCATCATATTACCTTGGGAACTTCAGATATAACTTTGGAAAAAAAACACAAAAAGGAAAACACAGAGGGCAGTAGCCTATTGTGTCCATGTGCTCATAGGAGTGACTGCTAGTGTGATGGGGCTTTTACACTTCTAAAACTAACAAAAAGCAAGTGGAACATTTGTTTCTGGAAAAGGACAGGGCAGCAAAGCTTGCAGAAGTGAGCTCTGCTGGCTTGTCCAAAGCATTTATGTTTGTTTCAAGGGTTATTTTTAGAAAGTCTCACCGAGCAAGCAGTTGCTTCTGAAAATGCACCAGAACCAGTATGGATGCAACAGTCTTGCTGGAGAGTGCCCAGTGATGTAAGCACAAAAGTCACCAGAATATACAAAACACTGGTAATCCAAGGAGCTGTTCAGATATACTTCATTGAGACTACTTGTACAATAATAGCAGGACTGAATCTCAGGTTCCCTTTGCACACATTCATCTTTCTTTATTATAACCAGACTTAATTCTTTCCAGTAGATCTGTTATTTTACTTAACGGGCACTGAGTTCAGGTAGCATCAGCTTTGCTACAAATAGAACTTGAAGAGTACCAGCCTTCTGATGTTGTCACTTCAAATACTACATTTTGGGTTTCTTTAACATGGTATATCACCTAAATTCAGCTCCATCACATTCCTAAAAGGTATTCAGTGACCAGTTTTCTGATTATAAAACCATGTGTTCAAACTCTGAATTGTTTGTTCTCCAGCAACTCAGAGTTCTGGGTTTGGATGCCATGGGACCCCATCTGGGTTTGGATGGGTTTGGAGTGCTAAACACTCCAACCCTGGGTTGCTGCACACACTTGGTCCTGCTCATATTTTTAACAACCCATGTGGATTATTAGAAAACGTGAACCACATGACTAGCTTAATCAGAATGTAGTTGAGGATGTGAATACCACTGAAAGCAATACAGTACAGACAGGGTGTATCCACAATGAGGTGTGAATGTAGATTAATTTAAGACTATGGTTTATGATCCACTAAGAAGCACGGGATTATTCTCTTTTGCTGGATTATGGCATGTATATGGGTTCTGGTACAAATTTTTGCACATGTGCTTTAACAGTTTAGAAAGAAGAAAGGCAAGATCATTACTTGGTGCACTGTGGCTCTGATCAGTTTTCTGAGTGCTAAACTTGTTACCATATTTAAAATATATATTCTGAATGCTAAATTACACAGCTAAACCTAATACTAGAATATTAGAGACAAAAGGCATATCAGTACCCTACATGAACATTCTGTAAGTGTTAATGACAGCAAGGAAAAATGCAGAAGGCATCATAAGGAAATATTTAATGATACTATTACATAAACAATATATATCCACCATCACCTACAAAACACATAACATCACAAGAACTGGGCAACCACAACAATATAATACTGTGTAGTGACAGATACAAAGAAATATAGAATCTACTCATAATCAATACCCAACATGACCTCAGAAACTGTGGGACCTAAGGAAAAAGCCTAGCACACAACACTTGGAGAAGCTTCTGCACACAAGTTTATGGTAACAGAAAGTTGGATGTGAATGTAGAAGAGAAAGGCATTATATTCTCCAAGGTTCATAATTATCTTTCAGTATGAAACAGGGAGATTAATATCCTTGCTCAAGTAAAAATGAAATACACCTTTTAGTATAAATGTGAAGACAACTTTATCTGTATGAATGTACAAGAAAGGTGAATCATGACACAGGGTGGCAGTTTTACTAACCCTGCTGATGGATGACTACAACCAGGAAGGTTATCTTAAATGAAGGCCACATGTGGCTATGGTTGCAAAGGGCTTGGCCATGGAGGAGGACAAAAGGAATAGATCCATTAAATGGGCTACATGTTTACTAACTCCTTTGAGAAAAGTTTATTGAGGAGTCGAGAAAGTATAAAGTATCAATCACCCAGTGGTTGCTATGTCCACATTGGTCCACATAGGTACCCTTTCTGATTGGATAGTACAGTGCCTCTTTCAGGATCTGGGAGTTAAGGCTAAATTGTTTTCTATGAGCAATGGAACAGAAACAAAAAGCATAGGAATGCCTAACTGAAGCAGCTTAGGGTAAAATGCTTAGGGTAAAATGAAGATATGGAAGACACCATATGTCTTCTCTGTGCTGTAAGGATAAG